ACATTATTAGTCTGATCTGCCACGCTTCAGACATGATCAGCTTTGCATTCCAACAAAAAAGAAATTTAGCAATGCGCTGGACGTGATTCATACCCGTGTTCGAACTTCTACGCACAAGACCGCTTACCAGATCGCTACAGGGACGCAAGGTGTAATTAATTTACAACACCAAGTATTCAATACTGACCGCCACCGAAGCCCAATAGCCCGAAACGCGCGGGCCGTAATGCAGTCCGCTCCAGCACACCAAGCACACGTCCAGACCAGCCCAGCCCACGCCTCCGACTTAAGGCCCGCACGCCATCAACCTGCAGAGCTCAGTTAAACCCACTTCCGTCATCATCCACTTGGGCTCGCGAGCGTGTACCAAGGCCCGATTCAAGATTTTACTCCGCTGCATCTCCATTCCACCAGGCCCGCCTTGCGACCAAGGCCTTACACGAAAGCCCGTCCCGAGCGGCCCGCCTCGAATCCACAGGGCCAAGTAACCGCCTCCAGCCCGGGCTCTCATCAACGCCCGTCCATCAGACGTTCAGCCCGGCCCGCTTTGCATCGAAAGCTCACTACCCGCTTCAGCTCTTAGGCCCTTCCCGACAAAAGTTGCCAATGCCCTCATGCGGGCTCCTTCGCCTCAAGCAAATCGAGTGCGGCCCATCTGAGACCGCATAGCAGTCAGGCCCACTAAGTCCACGTGTGCCCAATCCGGGTTCCAGTTATTAAAAATAAAGGAAATACGCTTCTGCAGCGAATCGAACTCGTGCACGACTCCAATTTAGTAGCAGCAACAACCACTGGACTACAAGACTTCTTTGTTAATCAGAGTGCGACTCCTGTTAATTAACCGCTTCCCAGCTGTCTTATACAACTTATTCTCAAGCTAAGTTCTCCCTTTCAAGATATATCTTATAGCATATGTCATGAAGATGCTTATTCCGAATCATGCTAGACAAAATATATCTCATATACCATGTCATGCCATGAAGAGAATCATTTCCACTATACTATGACATATTTCACGCATACTATGCTTCTGTTTGTGCTCTAAAAATATGGGGCACTAGTCACTCATATCTTTCGCAGATATAAAACCGCATCCCGCTTCCTGAGCAATGCTTCCACTCTACGTAGAAGCCCGAAACCGCCTCCCAGTAGGCGCGCCATCGGTATAGCTAACACGATCCCGCCTCCCAGCAGGTGTGGCATCTTCAAAACACAAACGCCGCCTTGAGTTAAAACTCTCAAGTCGTGGGGGCCGCCCTCCCTAGCACATAGCTAACGCCTAATATTCAGCCAACAACTCACGCTTAACATGCACACAAGCTCATGCCCATCTCGCGGTCCAACAGCTTATCGCATACAGCTCACAGTTACGACATACATATTAGCACGCTCGGCAATGGGCTAGTGGGGAAATCTCAAACGACTTGAGAGCTCTAACTCAAGACATCGATTGCTAAGCAAAGAAGTAAAGATGATGGCCGCACAAGGGGCAAACCGCATCGTTCGGACTAGCGAGGGTCCAATCCACTCGGGGCGTCCATCACCGGGAGGCATCCTGTCACCCGGGGGCGTCTCGTCCATCACTAGGGGCATCCATCACCGAGCAATGGTCACACAAGGGGCAAACCGCATCGTTTGGACTCGCAAAGGTCCAGTCCACTCGGGGGCGTCCATCACCGGGAGGCATACATCACCGGGAGGCGTCCATCACCAGGGGCATCCATCACCAAGCAATGGTCGCACAAGGGGCAAAACCGCATCGTGCGGACTCGCAAGTAAGGCAAGTTAATACACCTTAACGCATTATTTTACTCCTTCCATTCTTACAGAATACAAGAAGCAAAGGGGCAAATGTTGGGTCTAGTATTAACCCGCCTAATACGGGCCCAAGTCCACCACAAAGCGTCTCACCTTGGGCCCAAGCCCATTCTAGGGTCTAGTCCACCGGGAGGCGACCAGTCCATCCGGGAGGCATCCAACCTACCCGGAGGCGTCCACCACCGGGAGGCGTCCATTCACCGGAAGGCGTCCATCGATGGGAGGCGACCAGTCTACCGGAGGCGTCCTTGACAACGGGAGGCGTCCACATGATGCCTCCGACTCCTATATAAGGAGGCCAGACCCTCCAAGCAAAGGGACTTCTCTCCCTTCCCTCATTTCACCACTTATGGTTCTCTCTCTAAACCCTATCTCTCTCTACATTTCTCTCTACACTCTATCATATATCCTATTCTAACTTGGGCATCGGAGTGTAGATCACGGGGGCCGCCCCCGACTCTCCACAGGTTTCTTCCACTCCCGAGGAGATCAGACGAGGGAGACCGGATCAAGGTTCCACACTAATCCCCGGTACTAATCCGGGTCAAACACTTCTTGATCTTGAATGCATTATATCCCTGAAAACACAAAACAAAAAGATGTAAAATAGTACGAAATACACTCAAGTCTATCATAAACTAATTATTCAAATAGTTATGAATTCTATATAAAATATAATGAAAACCACTAAAGATGCATTGATAAAAGGGGAAATGTATCAAATATAAGGGTAACAAACACTGTAAATTGAGTGTCATTGTATTAAAAACAAAAAAGAACAGAGTTGAAGTACCACATTAAGTTTGATTGCAACATCACAAATTCCATGATTGAATTAATAGTTTCGAAGACAATGATGGAAAAAAGGAATCTCCAACAACATTTGGGACTAGGATGAGGAATTTTTTTATTTTTGCCATGATAAGGGCAAAATACCTCGGATACCACTTAAGTTTCTGAATTGGGGCATGCATAGCACTTAAATTTGAATAGGGTGTCGGGTACCACTGAACTCTATTATTTGTGCACCCGGTATCACTTAAGTTTAATGTTAAGTGCATTCCGTTAAAATTAACAGAATATTCTTGAAATATTTTGTTTTCTAAGTTTCTTAATTGGTCCTTCTACTTTTCTTATTGTAAAAAATCATTTTTGACTTATGAAAAACATCAATTTTTATTATTTAATTGGTATCCTTTTTGAAAACTTGATACCAAATTAATTTTTGAATAGAAAATTTAAAATTAATTATTATTATAAGTATTTTCAATTATCATTATGCTTTTTAATAATTGAATTTTTTTTTTTTAATATTTTGATACCAAACCAATTTTTGAATAGGAAATGTAGAATCAATTATCATTATAAAGTACTTTAAATTAACATTATGTGTTATAATAATCGAACAATTTGCTTAAGCAAATATATCCTATGAATTCTATATCGATATAAATAATATGAGGATGTTATATTTAATTCTCGTACATCATCTGGATGTTGTATAATTTTCTTGGTTACTTTCGTTCTAAATTTTCTTCAATTACTGTAATATGTTTAATTCTTTCTAACTATGTTCCATTTATCATTCTTTGGTCTTGATGTATTGATGATTGATTAGATTCTATTTTAACTATTTTTAATGATACTTCTTATCAGATTAGTGATTTAAATAGATCTTCTAATATTGATTTTAAATATTTATTATTAAATTCTATATATTTATTCTTATTCTTGATATTTTATTATTATTTTTACTAACTTATCTATTTTATTGAAAATTTTGATTAGTCATTTTAGTAATATTATGTTTAGAAGGTTTTTTAATTTCTATATTAGATAAAAACTTATTGAAATATAGTTTTGGATGTTTTTAAAAGTTTGGGTACCAAAAAGTAATTAAAATTTTGGGTTTGATGGAAAACTAGATGGATGTACATTTTGGTGACTTTAATGGTACCCGACGCCCTATTCAAACTTAAGTGGTATGTCTGCTCCAATTCTCAAACTTTAGTGATACCGGAGGTATTTTACCCGCCATGATAATGATATTTCATGTATGATTGTGTTTTCTCATTGAATTTGCTCATAAAATGTGAAAGAGAAGTATTTGTTGATGATGAATATAGTAAAGTTGATGATGGAGATTTTTTATAGTAAAGAGGCACTGGTGCTGGTCATTTTGGCCTAACTATAATATCGTATTATTAAGTTTATTATGAGTTGATATACCTTTGCATGAGTTCTATATTTTAAATTGGGTTAATACCTTATTTTGGTCTGAATTATGTCCAAACTTTCTACTTTGGCCCGTGGTTTATGAAATTGCTCCTCTGACCTGAAATATGCACCATACTTCCTTGCTTGGCCTGGCGCCGGTTATGACTTCTGACTGTCAAATTAGATGGTCAACTCCATTAACCGTTAGTCAAAAGGCAAGTCACTTGCCACGTCAGCAAACCCGAAATAAAAAATTTAGATATTGAATTTGTTTCATTTTCCAATAAACAATAATAATTAACGAAGAAAAAGCCAAATTACAGAAATTCAAAAATAATTACAGAAATTCCAAATCCAAATTTTTTATTTCGGGTTCGCTGATGTGGCAAGTGACATGGCGCTTGACTAACAGTCGATGGAGTATGGTGCATAGTTCGTGTCAGGGGAGCAATTTCAAAAACCACGGGCCAAAGTAGAAAGTTCGATTATAATTCACCCCAAAATAAGGTATTAATCATTTTTTATTCAACGAGAATCTGTATAGAAGGCACTAGTTACAATGTTATTAATCTTTGTTATGGATGCCCATTTTTTATTTTCGAAGCAATTGAAAAATTAGACTTTCTTGATGGTAAAAACTAAGAAATTGTCTTGCGGTATAGTAAAATTGATACCATTATTGGTTAATTCACTGGACATTCATATATAAGCAGGATATTGCTTAAATTTTAACTTTAAACTTTTGTTAATTACTGATAATTTATTATCATATTGCAACCTTACAAGTGTAAATTAATTTATTAAAAAAAAAAAATATATATATTTCGGCCAACTGACCTAGTATAAGCTAGTTATCATTTGAGTTTGACCTTTGTTTATTCTTATAATCTTTTAAGAAAATTTTGGACATTCCACCAGGCCCGTAACAGTCCCCTTTGATCTGCACTGAATTAAATGGGCTCAGGCCCGTAACATCCCTCATCAGAGCCGCGAACATCGTCCAAGCTCCCTCCGTTCTTCTGCGTCAACATCGCAATCCCTACTCTGCAGATGGCGGGAGAAAGCAAGGTTTCATCGACCCGAAAATCGACCGCCGACACGTCTTCCTCCAACCCGTTCTAGCTCACGCCCTAGCTCTTTAATAGTAAAGAAACAGCGGCAAAAGGTTCAGGGCGTTGGCGGTTTCAACCTTTCGGGTCTTGCAGAAGACAACCCTTCGTGGAAAAGGTAATCACTAATCAATGTACTACTTGCAGAATTGAGAATGTAGGTATGTCGATGATTCTTGGTATCACCTGTTTGTCAGGGGTTCATTGTTTGGATTTTTGTGTAGAATATATATAGGCAGTGAAAGGATGAAGCGGGTGTGTGAAGCGAGTGCCGATAGAATTACCAACCTTCCCGAGGATGTGTTACATCGGGTTCTGGTGTTTTTACCCATCAAAGACGCTGCCAAAACTAGTGTACTATCAACAAAGTGGAGGCATCATTGGAGAAGTATTCCCGAACTTGTGTTTGATAGTAGGTTCGCCATCAAATCGGGTGGATTTAACACAACTGAGATGAGGAGCAAGTTAATGTTCTACATTTTCAAAGCTCTGCTGCTCCATGATGGCCCAATAGCAAAGTTTGTGCTTTCATTTCCTGGATTAAGTCCCCGCTATGGGAATGAGATTGATGAAGTCCTTCTCTATCTTTCTCACAGAGGTCTGCAGGAGTTGAAGCTTTCCTGTGCTGCTTTTCATGATGACAAGAAATACAAGTTGCATTCTTCTTTGTTTTCTTGTCTTCAACTGAAGCTGCTGAAGCTTCGGCATTGCGAATTTAGACAACCATCATGGTTTGTGGGTTTTAGTAAGCTTACGGTTCTCTTCTTGTCAGATTTTACTCTGCCCTCGGATTTCTGTGAGAATTTCCTTCTCAAGTGCCCGATGCTTAAAAACTTAAGGCTGACAAACTGTGATGGTCCGAGTAATCTTAACATTGTGGCTCCATGTCTCGAACGGTTCTGTTTCACGTACAGGGATTTACAGAAAATCTGCTTCAACTGTACTCCTGTTTTAGTTAGTCTCAGGCTATGCAGAAACTTCGAAAAGATTGCAGATATGGTAGCTTTACTCGCTTCTATCACAGAACTCCAAGAATTTCGTGTCGACTTTCAACTCCCACAAGTAAGTTTGTTTGTTTGCCCTCCCACTTACAACCTTCTTTTCCCCATCTTTCGGTTTCTTTCTGGTACTCATTTGGGTTTTTTCTCTGAATTAGCACCTTACTGTAGGTGATAGTGATGTTCCCATCAGGCTTCCTACTCCTCTTCACCGGTTAAAACTCCTCCATACCAGGAACGTTGACTTCAGTAGCTTGGAGACGGCGCATTTTCTTGTTTGTTTGATCATCGGTTCCCCCAACTTGCGTGAGCTTACAATTAAGGTTGGTTTGTGTTGCCGGCTACTGTGAAGTTCTATACATGGGTAATTGTGGTCTTTGGCCTAACTTGAGTCCTTGACAAATGCTCTTGCAGCTGGACCCTAGTCAACAAAACCAGCCCGCAACTAATAATGCGGCAACAAGCATTGTAAGCCTGTTGGAAGCAGAGTCCCGCCAAGGATCTGGTAGTTGTTGTTTGCAGCAGCTTAGAGAGTTCAGAATCGAGGAATGCCTTGGTACACAAGTTGAGCTGAACCTTGTGCAGTTCGTGTTAGCCACCGCTCCAATACTTAAGAGGATTTACATTCCTCGTTTGCATAAACTGTCGTCTGAAAAGGTTATTGAATTCATGATGGAAGTGACGAGATATAGGCGGATCTCTAAAGATGTAGAGGTCATATATCACTCAAAATGACAGATATCTCCCGTTGCTTGCGAGGAAGAGGGGCAGGAGCTATTTGATATTTTCATTTTACTGTTGGGTTGATCTGTTGGATGTAGCAGCAATCAGTGAAAACAGAAGGCTAAACTTCATTTTGTGGAGGTGAATAAATCCGCTACGACTTATTATGTTGCAGTGTGGTCCTTAATCTTGTGAACTACCACTTGCACTTGGTATGGTAGCCAATTGTATGCTAATGTAGTCATGTAGAAGTTATAGAAACAAAGTTCCTATCGGTTTTTATATTTGGGGATTAGGGTTTATACGATCAGAATTAGAGATTGAGATTTGAATTTTGAGAAGATTAGGGAAGAAAGAGCTAGAATGGTCGGCGGCCTGATTAGAAAGAAAAGAGATTTAGGGAGATAATTCTTCTATTACTTTTTGCTTCCTCTGACGAAAGACCTGGAATACATATATGTATAGTGAAAGACTCAAAATCCTAATAATAAATCTAATTCTACTAAAACACTACTAATCATATTAATAAAATCCTAATAATATTAATGATGATAAAGATGGAAACCCGAGTAAATCGTGTTTCTATAAGAAGTCACCTACCATAGCAAAGGGCAAATGCTAGTACAACCTAGCATGACCACGTCTGCTTTTGATGTTTGGTTTTGAAATAGTTATGATATTCAAGTGTATCGATATGTCAAGTAATATGACCAGATGACATACTAGTATCATGATTCAGATTTGTTGTAAATGTGGCAATCAGCGCGGGTTCGAGTCCAGTGAAAGAAGAATTTTTCAATTCACCTGTAAACCCCCACTCACCTATCCACCCGCGCCGCTGCAAGCGGGTGGGCACTGAGTGTGAACACCAAGCTTGTAGAGAAGGTGAGAAAAAGTTGCATGAGGCAGTAACTTTGTTAGAATGTCGGCCAACTGATGAGAGGACATGTGAAGAACTTTGATGACGCCAACTTGAGGTTTTTCACGAACAAGGTGGCAATCAATCTTGATGTGTTTGGTACGTTTATGGAAGGTGGGATTCTCTACAATATAGATGGCAGATTTATTATCACAGTAGAGGCTAGCTAGTTGAGAGTGGGGAACCATGAAGCAGAAGGTACATGAGCCATTGGATCTCACAACTGGTTTGATTCGAAGCTCGATATTCTTCTTCACAAGAAGATCGAGATACTGTATGTTGCTTCTTGCTCTTCCAAGGAACAAGTGAGTTGTCAAGGTAGATGCAGTAGCCAGCGATGGAAAGTTGAGTGTCAATACAAGCTGCCAATCTGGATCAGAATAAACCAGTTACATTTGAGCAAAAAAATTGGAATCTAATTTGTAACGATGAAGATAAAAGCAAATTATGAAAATTATGAAAAATAAAAAAATAATTTTATTTTCATTTGTTAAACAGGCCGAACTTCAAATCAAAAACCCAAATCTAATTATGCAAGGTTATGCAATCTAGACTTATTAACCCTATCTTGCACCCACCGTCACCGACTTAGATTGGGCCAATAGAAGAACCCAAGCGAGGCACCTGGTCCATCATTCCCTTAGCTCTCTCCCAAGTCCTTTCCTCCGTTCTGACTTCTGCGTAACATCGCAATCCCTACTCTGCAGATGGCGGGAGAAAGCAAGGTTTCATCAACACGAAAATTGACCGTCGAGACGTCTTCCTCCAAGCCGTTCTAACTCACGCCCTAGCCCAGTAATAACAACGGAAAAGATTCAGAGCGTTGGCGGCTTCAACCTTTCGGGTCTTGCAGACAACCCTTCGTCGAAAAGGTAATTACCAATCTATGTACTACTTGCAGAATTGAGAAGCTAGGTATGTCGACAGTTCATGGTATCACCGGTTGGTTAGGGGTTAATTGTTCGGATTTTTGTGTAGAATATATATAGGCAGTGAAAGGATGAAGCGGGTGTGCGGACCGAGTGCCGATAGAATTACCAACCTTCCTGTTGATGTCATACAGCAGATTCTGATGTTTTTACCAATCAAACATGCTGCCAAAACTAGTACATTGTCAACAAGGTGGAGGCATCATTGGAGGAGCATTCCCAAACTTGTGTTTGATCGTAGGGTCGCCATTGGATCGGGTGGATCTATATCAACTGACATGATGAACAAGTCTATGTTCAACATTTTCAAAGCTCTGCTGCTCCATGATGGCCCGATAAAAAAATTCGTGCTTTCGTGTCCCGGATTGAAGTCCTGCTATGGGAATGAGATTGATGAAATCGTTGTCTATCTTTCTCACAGAGATCTGCAGGAGTTCATGCTTTTCTGCGCTGCTGGTGATAGTCAGAAATACAAGTTACATTCTTCTTTGTTTTCTTGTATTCAACTGAACCGACTGAGACTTGACCATTGCGAATTTGGACAACCATCGTGGTTTGTGGGTTTTAGTATGCTAACAGTTCTCTTACTGTCAGATGTAACTCTGCCCTCTGATTTCTGTGAGAATTTCCTTGTAAAGTGCCCGATGCTTAAAGACTTGAGGCTTGTAGATTGTGATGGTCTGAGTAATCTTAACATTGTGGCTCCATGCCTCGAACGGTTCTGTTTCACGTACAGGGATTTACAGAAAATCTGCTTCAAGTGTACTCCTGTTTTATATTTAGTTAGTTTTAGACTATGCAGAAACTTGGAGAACACTGCTGATATGATAGCTTTACTTGCTTCTCTCCCAGCACTCCAAAAATTTTCTGTCGACTTTGGACTCCCACAAGTAAGTTTGTTAGTTCGCTCTCCCTCGTATAGTCTTTTCCCATTCTTTCGGTTTCTTTCTGGTACTCATTTGGGTTTGTCTCTGAATTAGCACCTTGCTGTAGGTGATAGTGATTTCCCCAGTAGGCTTCCTACTCCTCTTCACCGGTTAGAAATCCTCCATACCAGGAATCTTGACTTTAGTATCTTGAAGGCGGCGCATTTTTTTGTTTGTCTGATCACCAGTTCCCCCAACTTGCGTGAGCTAACGATTAAGGTTAGTTTGTGTTGCCGGCTACTGATAAGTTCTATAATATTTGGGTAATTGTGGTCTTTGGCCTAACTTGAGTACATGACAAATGCTCTTGTAGCTGCACAGAAGTCAGTCATATCAGCCCGCAGATAGTGCTGCGACAACAAGCATAGGAGGCCTGTTGGAAGCAGAGTACCGCCAAGGATCCGGTAATCGTTTTCTGCAGCAGCTTAGAGTGTTTGAAATGGAGGAGTGCCTTGGTACGCAGGTCGAGCTTGACCTCGTGAAGTTTGTGTTAGCCACCGGTCCAGTACTTGAGAGGATTCACATTCCGCCTTCGCATAAATTAACCTCTGAAAAGGTAATCGCGTTCATGAAAGAAATTATGAAATATAAGCGTATTTCTAAAGAAGCAGTGGTTATATATAGGGCCGCAAATGAGCCGAGTCGAGTTTTACCCCAGCTTGAGCTCGAGCTCGACTCGTTTATTAACGAGCCGAGCTCGAGCTAGCTTGTTTACTAAACTCTTGACTATTATTTGGTACTTCATTTTGTATATCATGATACATATGATTTATTTTGTTAGCTAATTATTAGAATTATTAAGCCGCAAGCGGCCAAAAATTACCAAATCTGTGATTTTACTGTTCATTACGAAATTGTCGCAATACACTGTTCACGAAGGGACTGAATGATTCCCTGTGGTATAATTTAGGTGAGCCCATATGTCCATATGTTGGGCTGGCCAAACGTGGCCCTTGATGGATTTTTGATTTGTAAGATTGATGAGCTCACAGAAAATAGCACCTGATTCTCTCTCTTCATCTCTCCTCCTTTCCACCTACCCCTCTTCTCTCCTCCATACGAAAATCCAATCAGCCATACCTTCTTTCCTCCTTCAGGCAGCAGCTTCCTCTTCTCACGTCAATTCCAATCGAAGAAATAACAACGGCAGTGGCACTCATGCGAACAACGACAGCGACGACATGTGTTCTCCAATTTCTCCTCCGCCCAGACAGGAAAAACACACCGACGAGACGAACGATGCCCAATTTTCCCTCTCTCACCTCCCTGAACACCGATGAATGGCACGTCGACGGGAGACAGTGGTGAAGCCAGATTTCCCCTCTCTTATGAGGCACCATTGATTGCTGGATTAGGTGAGTCAACAACCAGATTTCATATCTCTCGCAGAGGACACCATTGATTGTTGGATTATGTGAACCAGCAACTATCTCTCCTTCTATTACCGAAGTCAACTGTCGAAGGTTAGAGGAGGGGAAGTCAGAGCTCTCCATGGGCACTAAGCATTAGTAATCTTCTGACAAGTATTCATGCTTTTATCCTAGATCCATCTCAAGCTGCAATTGATTACCGTGAAACTTAGTACAATTGACTGGTAATTTCGATGGGTTGTTAATTTCCAATGGGATGTTAGTTAGATAGATACTGCTCTATTATGGGTTGTTAATTTCGATGGGATTCTTATATATTCTTTTCATCATTCCTTTTAATTCCTTTGGTTCGCATAATCACTGCCTGTGCCAAGAATTAGAGATATTTAAGTTTGACCTTCTCCATGAATTGAATTAGGGATTGTTTTTGTGTTTTCCTGCTATCCCCCCTGTTTGTTGGGTCAATACGTGTGGCGTTAGCATCTTATAATTGTATGGTTTGTTGTTGCCTTTCCTATTTGCCAACTCTTCCATATCCAGGGCATTGGTTCCTTACTTCAAAATGGCCTAAAAATCTTTCTTCTCATAATCAACATCCTTGCATCTCAGTTCAAGATTTTGGATAAGCCTTTCCATGATTTGTAGTTCAGCTTGGCCATAGGGCATTCATTAATTATATTCTCAAGACTGTTATGAATTGAATGAATAGTACTGGCAAAGAGAGTTGCAGACTGCATAGTTGATATATCAAAAGAAACAGAGATAGATTCTCTAAGTCATCTGATGATCACAACCTTATGGTTAGTATATATGAAGGGAATCTATTTCTCAATCGTTTGCATTAGTTTTGACATGGTACCATTGCAGTGATTTTCTTGCTCTTTCGTAATGGTCTCTCAGTTGGTTCATGTTAGCTATTAGGATACTGTATACCAAGTCATGAATATATGCTTCTCTATATGTGGACTTTGGTTTGTGATAATGGCTCAAGGTTGAAGTAATAGGCAAGTCTTTTGCCGTTTTCCTTGGCTCAAAGTTTAACTCTTTTTCATTAGGCGTCCTATATATGCTTTTATATGTGGTTGTCTTTTGTTGTTGCTCCATTTACTGTGTATTATTTGTTTCATGCAGTCTTGCTGAATGTGACTTATAAAAAAAAAAAAAAAAGAATCACGGTTTCGATTCCCTTTTGCTTGCCTTTTAAGACACTACTATATAGCGGCCAAACGAATGAGGGAAATTCATTGCAGTGTGAGATGGAAGAGGCCCTAGCTGCCGAGCTGGGTGCTTATTTCACACACCAATTTGAGCTGTCAAATCTGATTCTGGAGATTGACTGCTTTGTGTTTTGCATCGAAAGACCACTGATTTATTTGGTAGATCCAACTAGATCATGCATAAGTGACTTCTTAGTCTTAATTTTGATTCTCTGCCCTATTCTTTCATTTCCCTTTTCGGTTGCTCTATATGACTATATGTTATTCTTTTCAAGGTAGGCGACGGACATGATCATTTTACATCATGCAAACATGCATGGAGTGGTAAAATCTATTCCTTAAGTGGACCCGGGAGCAATTTAGATAGTTATGGTCGTATTGAAGTTTGTGCTTAGGCTTAATGATTATAGGTAAAATGATTTGAATATATATATAGGGTTAATTGCATGGTTGGTCATTGAAATTACAAAAAGTGTTCATGTTTGGTCACTATAAATATTTAAATCCACTTTTGGTCACTAACTTTACAAAAACCGTTCATATATGGTCACTCTCCGTTAGCTGCCGTCCAACGCCGTTAACGGCGTCCGTTAAGTGATGACGTGGCTGACGGATTTGCCTAATCAGCACTTTTTAACCCCAAAATTGACTGACCCGACCCGCTACGTCATTTAAACCCGCCATATCAGCTAAACCTAACCAAACCTCTACCCAAACCCGACCAGACCCGCTAACTAAAATCAAACCAGACCATACCCCAAAATTGTTTTACTAAAACCCTAATTCGCATCGTCGGTGCCGAGAAATTAACTTGATTCTTCTTATAAGAACGCTGCGGCGGCTCTGCTTCATGACGGTGTATCTATTACAGCATAAACGCAGGTGAAAAGACTTTCCGTGAAAAGACTTTCCGGTCGATCTCTTCTTTCCTCTTCTCCGTCGCATCTTTGCTCACTGACTCTGTCACACTCTATATGCAGCTACTGCTAGCATCTCGAATCTTTGCTCTCCGGATCCAGATTCACTTCCTCGATCTCCTTCATTCACTGATCATGGATTCATCAGCGGCACTCTACAACCACCTCAAGGTTTTCATTTCCTTTTCTCTCATCCCCTCTCTTTCTTCGTTTCTTCTTCAATCGAATTAAGCATATTCATCGTACAGTCGGCCGATCCGTTTTTCTTGCTCGCCGGCCCGAATGTCATTGAATCCGAAGAGCACATTTTCACCAAGGCCAAACACATCAAGGCCATCTCCACCAGGTAGGTACCCGAGGCAATTGCAGAGAGGAAGTCAGAGTGATGCTTTGAATCTGATCTAGTTTTGTTTTCAGATAATGGACTCGCCATATTTGCCACATTTTGCACTGTTTTTGTCCATTCTCCTTGTATAGTGGGTTTGCCTTTGGTCTTCAAGTCGAGCTTCGATGGCTACCTCCACAACCACAAGTACGCCTCCCAGGAGAAGACTAAATACCAACCCTCACGCTCAAATTCTTCACGGCGGCGCTACATCCTCTTCCGCATCTACTCCTTGTTCTCCCTTGAAAAAGCTGAATCTGATGGATCCACAACAACCCCTGCCGCAGAAGCAGCCACTCGACGGCGGATGTGCGTTAGTTCGGGATTGGGCGGGTCTCTCCCCGGAGTTGTTCTCCGTGATTATGGCGCATCTCAGTCCCGCGGATCGCCTGGGGATTGCTCAGCTAGTTTGCTCCTCGTGGCGGAAAGTCTGCCGGGACCCGTACATATGGAGATCTGTCAACATCAGCCATTATTCCTGGGAGCGAGTTACCGATGTGGAGGCGCTCTGCGCGCAGGCCGTCGATCGGAGCTGCGGTGGTCTGGTTTCTCTGAGCTTGGAGTGCTTCGGCTCCGATAAACTCCTCGCTGACATCGCTAGCAAGTAATTCAATCTCTGCCTCCATTTCCTCTTTGATTAGGGTTTTAGTCAAACAATTTTGGGGTCTGATCTGGTTTGGTTTTAGTTAGCGGGTCTGGTCGGGTTTGGGTAGAGGTTTGGTTAGGTTTAGCTGACATGGCGGGTTTAAATGACGTGGCGGGTCGGGTCAGTCAATTTTGGGGTTAAAAAGTGCTGATTAGGCAAATCCGTCAGCCACGTCATCACTTAACGGACGCCGTTAACGGCGTTGGACGACAGCTAATGGAGAGTGACCATAAATGAACGGTTTTTGTAAAGTTAGTGACCAAAAGTGAATTTAAATATTTATAGTGACCAAACATGAACGCTTTTTGTAATTTCAATGACCAACCATGCAATTAACCCTATATATATATATATATATATATATATATATATATATATATATATATATATCAAGTTCACAATCATCCATTATGGCTGAGCAAATGATTTTACAAATTAAACAAAATTAAACATTTCTAAGAATTACAAATTATGTGGTCAGAGCGGCCAATTTAAAATCATAACAGAGTGAGATCTAGGATCTATATCGAGTTTTATGTTTCTTTTATATGACACAGATATGAAATATTTAAGAAACCATGAAGAATAAGTCTTGCATGTAGAACGACTCCACATGTTTTGATCAACAAAACAAATCGAACAAAAAAGATATCCAATAAAAAACTTAAAATCTTTAAATGATAATCTATTATTATGTCATATTCGATTTTTTTTTAAAAAAAGATCAAATAATCCGCTGCATAGCGCGGGCTAAATAACTAGTATCATATTATACTTTGTTGGTATCATATACCATTTAGTTAATAAATTTTAACTACTCCAAATCATGTTATTTCATAGTAACGAAGCAATCTATGATACATAATTTTTTCTTAAGTAGAAAATAAGATATATTTGCTCACATACTCAACTTTTTAAACTTTATATATGGTGAGATAAATAATTTAACAATCATATGAATTAAAAACATAAGATATAGATTGATTCGTCCATAAGTCAGTAATCGAGTTGGCTCTCTAGCCACATGTTGAGATATATCATGAGCTCTAAACGAGCCAGCTCACGAGTTTAGCTCAACAAGCCACCGAGTCGAGCTAGCTCGCGAGCTTCACGAGCTGAAGAAAGCTTAGCTCATGTTCGGCTCGTTTATTAACGAGCCGAGTTTCGAACGAGTTTTTCTCGAATCGAGCGCCGAGCCGCTCGCGAGCAGCTCGGCTCATTTGCAGCCCTAGTTATATATGAATCAAAATGACTGAGGTGTAATGCAAGCGCATTAGTCTTTGTATTAACTTCTTGGTGAAGGAATGCTCTCAAGTGGCTTTTTAATGTAATGTTCTAGCTTAATTTTGTTTGGTTATCCGTTGACTCGACTCTATGAAGCCAATGCTTAGCTCTTATCAGACTGATACCATTAACGCCACAATTCCCAGCGAATGAGATTGGCACACTAAAAGAACCCAAGCGAGGCACCTGATCCATCATTCCCCTTTGATCTGCATTGAACAAAATGGGCTGAGGCCCGTAATATTACTCAACAGAGGCCATAAGCCCATAACATCGTCCAAGCCCCAAGGCCCAAACCATCTACTTCTATCTATGATCTATCCCTCCGCACGCCCACTCTTTCCTTTCCTCCGTTCTGCGTCGATATGACAAATTGACAATGTAACAATCCTTGCTCTGAAATGGCGGGAGAAAGCAAGGTTTCATCAACCCCAAAATCGACCGTCGAGACGTGTTACTCCAACCCGTTCGACCTAACGCCCTAGCTCTGTAATAGTAAAGAAAAGAAACACTGAAAATTTTCAGGGTGTTTGCGGTTTCAACCTTTCGGCTATTGCAGAAGATAACCCTTCGTGGAAAAGGTAATTACCCATCTGGGTACTACTTTTTGATACATCCAATCTATGCACTACCTGCAGAATCGAGAAGCTAGATATGTGTGAACCGAGTTCTACATCGGATTTTGCTGTTGCTACCCATCAAAGACGCTGTTAAAACTAGCATATTGTCAACAAAGTGGAGGCATCATTGGAGAAGTATTCCCGAACTTGTGTTTGATCGTAGCTTTGCCATTGAGTGGTGTGGATCTAAATCAGCTGGCATGATGAAGAAGTTAATGGTCAACATTTTGTAAGCTCTGCTGCTCCATGATGGCCCAAAATAAAGTTTGTGCTTTCTTTTCCTGGATTAAGGTCCTGCTGTGGGAATGAGATTGATGAAATCGTTCTCTTGTCTTTCTCAAAGAGATCTCCAGGAGTTCATGCCTGTCTTTGCTGCTCGTGATAGTCAGAATCAACTGAACCTGCTGAGTCTTAGGCATTGAGAATATAGACAACCATCGTGGTTTGTGGGTTTTAATAAGCTTACGGCTCTTTTATTGTTAGATGTGCTGCTGCGCTCTGATTTCTGTGAGAATTTTCAGACAATATAGGTATGAGCAGTTGACAGTTTCTTGTCTTCCATTTCCCCCAACTCTGCTGACTCATCTCTGTCCCATTTCTGGTTTAGCCCAAAGGACTAGGGGGATGATTTTGCTCATGAAAGTACCCAGCTTCCTTTTGGACGCGCACCACTTTCGAGCTTTGAAGCCAAAGAATGTGTGTTGTTTTTGCACAAGACGTTTGCTCCAACAAGCTGCCGACTCCTTTGACTATGGCAAAATTTTGCAACGTTGCATCCTGCGAGGTGCTAGAAAGCATGGCCTTGTAGCTCACTCTCATATGATAACAAGTGGGTTTGCCTCGAATCCCCATTCAAACAGCAAATTAATCTCCTTCTACGCAAAGGTTGGTGATGCCAGAGCTGGTCGGAAAGTGTTTGATAGTATGACTGTAACGAATGTTGTGTGCTGGACGGCTCAGATTTCAGGTTATGGACAAAATGAGTGTTATGAAGATGCTCTGCTGCTGTTTTCAGAAATGCATAGAGTGGGGGTCAAGGCCAATCAGTTTACTTATGGTAGTGTGCTAAGGGCGTCTTCTCGTTTGCAATGTTTCAAGAGAGGGATGCAAATACAGAGTTGTGTACAGAAGAGTAGGTTTTTCAGCAATTTGTTTGTGCAAAGTGCATTAATTGATTTGCATTCTAAATGCGGAAGTATGGAAGATGCTTGTTATTTGTTTGAGACAATGCTTGACAGAGATATGGTTTCTTGGAATGCAATGATTGGTGGGTATGCTGTTCAGGGTCTTGGTGATGATTCTTTTCGACTGTTTCATGCCATGATGACAGAAGGTACGAATGCTATATTTGCCCTTGATTTTGTTGCAATCGTGTTGATACTATTTGACATAAATGTATGGCCTTCCACTTCATTCAGCTGGTTTTTGCTTAGTGTGTGTAGCCAAATCTAATCTATTATACTGATTTGCCATCCAATAGGTTTGCTACCTGATTGCTTCACTTTAGGAAGTCTTTTGAAGGTGTCTGGAAGAACTAGTGATTTCCTCAAAGTCGGTAAGCTACATGGATTCGTTGAGAAACTAGGTTTTGAAGGGAACCTTGATTTGCTTCGATCAATTATCGATGCCTATGCAAGATGTGGGGGCCTAGAGAGTGCTAATTGCTTGTACAAGACTATGGAAGTGAAAGATATAACATCTTGCACAGCGTTGATGAATGGATTCGCTCGAAACAACTATAGAACAGATGCTATGAATCTCTTCAATGAGATGCGTAGGATGCAGCACATGAAAATTGATGACGTCATGCTATGCTCTGTGCTCAATATGTGTGCTAATGCAGCATCATTAACCATAGGGAGACAGCTTCATGCCTTTGCTGTTAAAAATAAACCCAGTTATGATGTGGCGGTAGGAAATTCTCTCATTGATATGTATGCAAAGTCGGGAGAAATTGAAGATGCTGACCGTGCTTTTGGTGAGATGAGGGAGAAAAATGTCATATCATGGACATCGCTGATTAGTGGGTATGGAAAACATGGATATGGAAGCAAGGCAATTTCATTGTGTAAGGAGATGGAAGATGAAGGTTTAGTGCCAAACGACATTACTTTTTTGTCTGGTCTCTTTGCTTGCAGTCATTCTGGATTAAATAAGGAAGCATTGGAATTCTTCAATAGCATGATCAACAGGCACAATATCCTTCCGCGAGCTGAGCACTACTCTTGCGTGGTTGATCTCTTTGCCCGTGTAGGGCAGTTAGAAGAAGCGTACGGTATAATTTGTAGGAACAATATTACACCGAATTCCTCATTGTGGGGTGCCATTCTTGGGGGATGCTTTTCATATGGTAACATCGTCCTTGCTGAGACAGTAGCTATGCATCTCATTAATCTGAATCCAGATATTTCAGTCAATTATACAGTCTTGGGGAATATATATGCTACAGCTGGCCTATGGCATAAGAATTGCAAGATCAGAAACTTGATGAGCCAGAGAAATTTGAAGAAGACTCCAGGTTACAGCAGTGTAGATTCTCCAAGGAGCATTTACCTTACATAACTAACTTGAGGAGGCAAACCAGGATGCTGCAGTCAAAATCTGTTTGTGACTCTTGTGGAAACAGTAAGTGAGCCAGTTAGATACAAGTATACTTGATCGTGTGATATACGCTAAATCTAGTCTAATGATTACTTCTTTCATATGTGTATATGTTATTGAGGTCTCTTGCATGTATTGTTCTTTCATTTGTCTTCTTTGTTTGAAGGTTCTTGTATGTAGAATGGGCAACTTCATGGAGACAAAGACAAGATTTCAGAAATGTGTTCCGGAATGAGGGAATCTTTGTGGTGGTTAATATCTTGCTTAATTTCCCAAGTTAGTTCTTATGTTATTTTAAGAACTATAGGGATCTGGTTTACATGGTTACATTAGAGAAGTGAAAGAAAATTGTTTTCTAACAGCTAATCTATATGCATAAATTGTAACTGGGGAGTAGGACAGCCTGTGGGTTGTGTTTGTATTCTGGCGCTCTGGAAATCTCAGAATCTAGTTGATTTTGAGCTGACTCAGTGGCAGGTTGAAGCATCGGAGGTTAGTTGTTGGCATCAGGCGGAGGAGCTCCTTGAGCTCCAGGGTGACGTTAGGGCAACTAAGCCACGTGTGTTGGATGCAGCGGGCCTGGGATGGGGTGATGGGTGGCCTTCTTTGGTGGTTCGTGTGGATGGTGTGGTCTAGAAAGGGTCTCATTAAGGAGCTCTCACATGCCCTCAATCAACTATATACCCAAAGCAGGCGTCGACGATGGCCCCCCAGGATGGGATCGGCACCGGGACCAATTTTTTTTGGCCAAGCGCCCTGTGGTTGTTTGGCCATCAGGTCTGGCCGTCAGGTACACATGGGTTATGCAGTATGTGAAGTGGAAGCTATCAACCGGATTTCAGCTCTGCTTTAGAGGTTCTCGCCACTCAAGCAATCTAATTTCTAGAAGTAATCATTTACTTCTAAATCAGATGTTTGAACGAAACTTAAATTAGATTTAGAAGTAATCATTTACTTCTAAATCTAATTTCTAGAAGTAATCATTTGCTTTTGATTTGTCCGCTTGAATAAGCTGTTTGAAGTTAAATGTAACGGCCCTCAGAGATGCTAGAAGGGTGTTTACAGTAGGTGAAACAATGACCTGTGCCTGCATCTCAAGAAGTGAGTAAAGAGGAAGAACATGACATTTTCTATACCAGAAGTCCAGAAGTAAGTTCTTTTATCCTGTTTAACTAGTAAGATTTATCAATCAAAATCAATGTGTCTAAAGATATGCTTTCACTCTATCTGAACAGATGAATCCTTGAAGAATTTATTATATACATTATTAGGCCGGTGCTCAGCATATTCTATGATTTTATTTAGATTTAAATGTTGTCTTTTAGTGGAATTGGACGTAGACAAAGTGGATTGAATTTGAGCGAGGTGATATTTGGAAGGAACTAACCAAGTTAGATAGATTTTAAAGTCCAAGGAAAGAACTTGAGATGTGCTTGAACGTGAAAGTTCTGTTGATTTGGTCTCTGTGTTTTGTTGTTTTTACTACACGACAGTATGGCAATGAAATAGAACAGGATCTGTAAGCTTGGTTAGGATTGATATCTTACAACAGTAGTATGTTCGGAGTATCAATCCCCAAGTTTGGTTGGTATGTTGTGATGTCACTAGTGTTTAGGAATTATTGTTTTATGTTCAGGCCTCATCTCACAGAAAGGGTCTCATGGCGCAACGGGGAATGATGTTGCAGGATGCAATGGGTGCGCGACGGTTGCTGTGGGGAGACGCCGTGGTATTGGGGAGCGCGTATGAATGATCCGTACATGAGACATATTGGCGTTGTGAGATTCAATTGCTCGGTGGGGTCGTGAATTGGTGCAGATAATCGGCGACCTTCAACCCGTCATTGAGAAGGCAAGAGTTGGGATGCCCGAGCTGGTGCTGTCTTGACAGCAATTCGGCATATGTTACCCAATATGCACTTGGTTTGAACTTTGTACGTAGTGATTTTTCGGCAAAGTGAGCTACTTGGATGAGTTCGATTTCAGTAAACAAGTTATAGGTGGAGGACAGCTCCTTGTTCCTAGTGATAAAAGAAAAAGGCTAGAACTGAATTGAGTCATGATGAGGTATTCCCACGCTGAATTTTTACCCGTCGACAGTGAGAAAACGCAGAAGAAAGACGCGATCTCAGATAGGCAGATGCTTGTATATAACGGTATCCTGCAAACCAATTGAAAGCAGCCGGTGCAGGCTAGTTTGTAGATTAGTCATCAGAAATACCAACCAACCAAATCATGGTACTGCATTACCACATGCGCAGCTGGGTGCAGCCGTGTCAAAACTGCAGCTAAAGTGAAGAGTAATTGCGCAATCAAATGATGGGAGGGTTCCCATTATGGTCTCTTCTTTCTTTTCCACCCACCCACCCCACTAGCCAGGCCAGCCATCTCCCTGTTCTCGCGTTCATACATGGTGCTGCTGCTGCTAATAGTTCTCTACCAAGTGTCCAAATGAACTCTTCTTCAGTGAGCGATCCTCCACTACTATATATACACACCCTCCTTCCCCAACTAGCTAGCACACACAGTACTACATTACCCAATCTCTTCATTTCCAGAGCCCACACACCATTCAGATTAACTGTTTACTTACATACACGTTAATCATGGCCGCCGGTAGAGCGAATTGGGTTGCTGCTGCTGCCATACTCTCCATTCTGTTCCTTTCTAACGCTAACATGATGATCAATGTTGAAGCAGCGGGACGTCGAGGAGGCGGAGGCGGCAGTGCCTGCGGGAAGACACCAATTAGGGCTGCAGCGGCTAGCCTGAGCCCGTGCTTGAGCGCTGCTCGGAACGCCAGAGCAGCTGTGCCGCCGGCGTGTTGCTCGAAAGTTGGCGGGCTGATCAAGGCGGCTCCCAAGTGCCTTTGCGCCGTGCTGCTGTCCCCCTTGGCTAAGCAGGCCGGAATCAATCCCGGGGTCGCCATCACTATCCCCAAACGCTGCAACATTCGTAACCGCCCCGCCGGCAAAAAGTGTGGAGGTAATGTTAGCTATTGGTGTGACAAATTTGTTAAAAATCAAAGTTTGAAGACGGACTGATTAACATTGTATTCATTTCTGTGCAGGCTTCACACTCCCATGAGCTAGCGCAGCTGGTTCCTGGGGCTGCCTTGCGTTGGAAGTAATCATGGTTCCATTATATCAGAAGTGCCGGCATTGCTAGTTGCTTGCTGTAGAAGGAAAATGAGTGTCAAATAAAGGGCTGCCCTCATAGTACGAGGCAACGTTTAGTATTTATTTCCCTATTTGCTGAGTTTTCTTATCCACAATCTGCCTGTTAAACCAATCTTTGGTCTCTGTATCTCCTCAGTTATGTCAGCTAATAATGATGATCTTAGTTAATCTCTGACAACATTACAGAAAAATCTTCCATTTATATCATCACAGGCGCCACTATACAACATTTCTGTACAGTATACACTATAAGGTGCGAGCTACAACAGGGATTCTGGAGTGAAAAAGATGACTAAATCAAAGGGGCATTACTCTCTCAAGTAGCTTGAAAGCTCTCCTTCAACCATTTTGACTGCGACTCGAGCCCAGCGTCTCTCAACGCATTAAAAGCCGTCGCATAAAGCCTCGCATCCAAACCAGTCCCAACCGACTCCATGTCTCTCAACAGCTTCACCATCTCCTCTATCAAACTCATCTTTGAGAATACCCCGACCATTATCCCTCCCATCTTCCTATCCACACCATCACCATTCATCACTGTCCTGTACTCCTCGAAATACTCAACACACTTGTCGAAGTCCTTTGCCTTATTGTATGCGCTCACGAGGCTGGTGTAGCTCACCTTGTCGGGTCCGACTCCCTTCCTCTTGATCTCGCTCCATATCTTCTCCACCTGCCTCACATTCATCGCCCTACCGTGCATCTCAAGCAAACAATTGTACACCCATATGTTGGGCTTGCACTTCCTCTCCTTCATTTCTCCCAACAGCCGCATTGCATCCCCAACTCTACCCATCTTCCCGTACATCGCGATCACGGTGGAGTACGCCACAAGGCACCTGTCGAAACCCTTCTCACGCATCTCTGCAAACACCTTGTCTGCTGTGCGATAGTTTGCCACACGGTAGTATGCATTGATCGCTGATGCATAGGTCACCTGTCCTGGCTCGTACCCTTTGGTTGTCATCTCCTCGTACACTTTGATTGCAGCAGAAAAGCCTCTCCTTTTGGCGAAACCGTTCAGCACCGTACAGAACACGCAATCAGTAACCTTGAGGTTTGCATCGTGGCTCATGTTGCTGACAACATCGAGGGTCTTCTCCACCTGGCCTCGCTCAATATACATCGAGATGAGCTTCGAGAATGCCTCTGGGTCTCGCAATGCATTCTTCTCTATCGCTTCGTGAAATAGCTCTTCAGCTTCTCGAGCTTGATTGGAGTCGGCAAATGAGCAGATTAACGAAGAGTAGATTTTGGGATCCTCTACAAGCAAACCATCTTCCTTCTTATTCCTTCTCAAGTAACCGAGAGCTTCCGAAGCTCTACCTGATTTGGCTAATGACTCAATCAATACTCTGTAAATTTTGGTCAGCACTTCTAGTTTCGGGTCGAGCTCTTCAGATTCAAACTCGTGAAACAAGGCAACCACTTTCTCTACATTGCCCAATTTCTGGTGTGCCTTCATTGCCTGGTAATAGCAGCCAGAATTCAAACCGATTCCAGAAGATTTCATTTTACCATGCAATCGAATCGCGCTGCTGTACATGTGCAGCTTGTTGTAACCTTTCACGGCGGAATTGAAAGCTAAAACAGAGACCTTAGGGTTGGATTGGAAAATCGCGAGGAACCGTTCGCAAATTCTGAATTTCCTAGCTCGGATACAGTTCTCAACCAATGTAGAGCAAGTGTAAGCGTCGGGGAGAGTACCGTACCTCCTGAAATCGTCTGAAAGCAGCAGAAGCAAACGATCCCAGTTCTTGGTTCGGACCAGGTACTTCACCAGAAGCTTGACGACGGACTTATCTGGCTTGAATCGTGGGTTTTCCTTGGCTTTCCTGTAATGCTCGCAAGCCAAGGCTTCGGTTCTGGGATGGTGAAGCAACCCACGAAGGAATGCGTTGAGATTCTCTGCATCTGAAGCCGGGTAGGGCTGCTGCTGGTGGTTGTAGTCTCTTGGAAGCCGGAAGTGGTTGCTACGGAGATTTGGGGGTGCTTCTTCGACTTCTTCTTTCTCTTCTGCTGCCAGAACTGGAGCAGATGGGAAGCAGGAAGATTTGACATGGAAGTTGGAGTTTGGGCGGAAAGAGAAGAAGCTCTTGGGCTTGGAACATGGTGGGAAGCTTTTGGGTTTGGTGGAGCAAGTGATGTGCGAAGGTGAAGAAGAAGAAGAAGCGACGAGTGACCAGTCAGGAGAACAGGGGATCGCCATGGAAATGTGGTCTCAAAGTGGGTGGGGAGAGATGGTTTGTGAAGAACCAGAAGAACGGGCGCAGAATAAAGAGGAATGGAATGGCGGGGAAATTGGGTGAGCGTGGGGAATTCTGAATCATGGGTTGCTAGCTTTGATTTTTAGTTTCTGAGTGTGAAGTTTTCTGAACAGTGACAGAGTCAAGAGCGAGGGAGTGGGGCTGGGAATTAAGTGGTGGAGAAAGCTTTGAGGAATGCAGAAATCCGTGATGGAAATGGATTTTGGGGAGGCAAGTGGATTCTGTGAACCACTCAGACAGTGGCACGTGGAGAGTTGGGAGACATAGGGGATATATTCTGTCTTCAATTCTGCCACGTCCGCCAATTTTCTAAATATATAGAGCCAAAATGGACAAACCATTTTAACCATGCACTCAAATTCGTCAAAATATCAACAGAAAACGATGCATTTAATTTCATACTGTCAATCACACTCAACTCGAAGACTTCCAAAAAATATTTAGTATGGCTCTATCACAATTCATACATGCTTAGGGAAAACACCGAGTTTTCTCCATCATGATTCAAGTACAAAAGAAATCATACTATGCACAAGAAAAAGCTGTTGCCTAAAACAATCTGTTCCTACTCAGATCCCCCAATAATACCTATCTACTCCTAGTTAAATGCTTCTCCACAAGAAATTAGCTCAATGCCCTCTCCTATAGTCATGTTTCTTTCTCTGTTACCTTCATCCAACATCAGAAAGGAATACTCTCAAGTGTAGAGGGCGGACGAAAACATGAACAACCCACTCACCTGTGTTTGAATTTCTTTTCAGATCAACAATCTGCAACAGAAAAAACCTCAAATATCGTCGCCATGATCCACAGTCTCCTTTCTCTATTATCCTCACCAGCTGAATAAAGAGCTAAGCCCTTTACCACCCTGGTTACTCGATCCATTCTCCTCAATTGAGTCAGTCTCACTGTCAGTGCCAGATGCCTCTTCGTCCGAACTGCAATCGCTTGGAAGGAGTTGAATTCGGTCAGCATTGTTGATCAGCCAACTGGCCACTTCAGGAGATGATGCCCATTCTCTCATTGCTTCCTTCGTTGACTCCCGTGTGAACTCATCCCATTCTTCCTTTGTGAACTTCTTCCTCTTTGCTGTTTTATGGAAGGTCGAGTAATAATCCTGGTCCATCACAGTGCTGCCATGCTGCGCACGAGCAGCAGATGATGATGTCACCAAACCTGTCAAAACAAAACAACAGAAAAAATTACATGAAAACCATTATGCACCTTGGTTCCGTGGTACAAGTAGCTGAGGAAAATGTGTATACCTTTGACTGGGGAGTTCATCCAAGCACCTGGCATTCTCCCTCCAGGGCTCTTTTTAGCTGCTGATGCAGCTGATCTGCTGTAGAATTCAGCACGGCCCTGCTTTCCTGCAGCCGTCCCTGACTCATACCTACATATAATCAGAAAGACTTGTCACTAGATTATAAAGTGGAAAGACGACAGGAAATACAGAAACTATTTTGGTGGAACCTACCTAGGTTGCCTTAGCCACTTCATGATAAGGAAAGATATGGTGTACGATAAGACCACGGTAAGCAAAGCTAATGGAGGATCAGGTGTGCTCTGTAAACCAACAAAAAATTATCCAAGTTAATTCTTCTCATTTTCACATTTTGGAAATACTGAGGCTTCACCAAAGCATGCCAAAAACATATCAAAGTTCTAATGAAAGGAGATACAATGAGATAGATACAAATGCGACACCTGGAAGATAAAGGTGGTTGCAATCGCTCGAATAGCCCATTTAACAAACTCTGCTACACCACGGTCCACACTTCCATCTTTTGCAACAACAAACTTTCTAACCATCCAATACCCTAATCCTGCTCCTGCAAGCACAATGCCTACTAATACAAATATGTAGACCTGCAAATAAGGTAAGGCCACGTCAGCGGAGGATGAGTTAGAGTTCATAGAAATCTACTTGACAAGAGCGATCAAACATAATATATATTTAAAATAATGGCTCCTATTGTTACAGCAACATTTAGCAAATCCTGAAATGATGTTCAGGGGAACTAAAAAATAAAGTGAAAGTATGAGAATGAATTATAATGGAGTTCTATGCTACAAATTTGACAATATATAAAATGGGATCTTCCTAGAATACAATAAACAATGCTATTCAAATTGCGGGCAAGAAACAAAGTTTAGGACTCACTGGATTGTGCATCTCCTCATCAAGCCCAAAATTAAGAAGAATAGATTTGATGAGCTCTGATATGTGATGCAAAATGAAGGTGCCAACCCCAAGCTGTAACCAAGAATTGAGTGAGAATTTTGTCCAGTAACAGATTAATAGAATCTAAAAGGTACCATCTCTGAGTCCGCTCACCACTGATCCATATATTGAGAGATACATGATGTTTTTCCTTCCAGTCGGCAGTAATTTCATGCCCTGCAGATTAGACAGTAAGTGTTACGTATGGAATATTAAAACTAGGAGGATGAAACAGGAAAATAGGATCGTACGGACCAAATTAAGACACAATATTTCAAACGGTCTGCCATCATTCAATAAATTAAACACTCCAAACATAGGTCGAACTATGATTTTCTAGATAAGAGTTTGGAAGTTTCTGCATAAGCAAACAAACCAAATCATGCACTGATTTTAATCACATTATATTGAGACAAAAAAAAATAACCTGCTCAGGAACTAGCATTTGGAGGGTATAAATGGATAACTAATCACATTATACCGAAACCAACGAAGAATATCAACTTTGGGATCATAGTGGACTCGATGAACTCTTGGGAACAAGTAAGTTCACCCTTTTTCCTTACACCATCAAATAAAAGCCGAAGAATAATCCAAGGTAACAAACAGTTGCACAGAACGAGACAGTGAGGGGCTATACGAAGATTTGTACCAGAGAATTGAGAATTATCCCATATACCTGAAATAGAAGAATGATGATGACAAGGAAAATGCCAATAGCCATTGAGGTGCTATAATAGAAAGGAACCCAGCTGCTGACAATTGGTGCAAGCAATAGCAATATGAATCCCACTGCCAGACACAAGAGACGCCACCGTTGTGATTCTGCAAATCCAAAAGAATACCAATGATAACCAATGACATCTAAGAGGACAAGGAGTTGAACAAGGAACATAAAGATAAACAAAGGGAAATATTACCTTCTTTAAGCTGGACAGTGATACCACCACCAGATATTCCTCCAGTGGTCTTCACATCAATAAATCTCTCCTGATAAGGAGACATGACTGAACTCCATTGAGCATTTTGAAACGTTTTCCACTCTTCTTTCTCGCAATCACAGCGTCCAAGTGAAGCATTCCTGAACAATCCTTGACAATCAGATCAAAACAGCAAAACTGCAACTGAGGTTTCCTTAATGTCAAGATATATATTCACTTACCGGTGGAAACAAACATGAATCCTTCGATGAAGTCTTTCAGGGATAACAGGAAACGGTGCTAGTGTAACCCTGAGAGAGCTAGAATAGCTACCAAGTTCCAGTCTCGATTGACCTGAAATTTTAATGCGTTCACAGAACAATGCTTCTTTTGGATCTCGGCCAGGGGAATGTCCATACTCAGAGCTAAACTGGATTCTTCTTGGGTTTCCTAGATCAACAACTGCAAGTAAATTGTAAGTTAGTTCTCATATTGGCAACTAAGGCAGCAAAGTAAGGTTTCTCGAGGAGCTGCGCAATAAATTGGATCATGAACAATCGTGTATTCGTGTCTAAGCCTTGCCCTTGACGATTACAGCATACTGCCACAACTAGCCTTGCCCTATCATTATTCTCTCCAGCGAGAGTATACAATCATTTGCATTCTACTTTGCCCTACAAAAATGCTCGGCACATCACCTAAATTAAAAAGATCGATGAAATTAAAAGCTAAGACGCAGGGCATTTACAGAAGCGAATACTTAACAGCCAAACCAACTCCTAAGAACCATCAACCACCGAGAAGTAATAAGCGGAGATATCCAAGAACTCAAAAAGGAGAGGTGGAGCGGGAAGCGAGTTCTTGGAAACCAAAGCAGCGAAGAACTAGAAAAACCCACCGCATTTGGGTTGTGCGAAGAGAGAAATTTGACTGAAACCAATTGTACCTTTCAGCGTGGTTGTTTCGTAGGCTGCTGCACGAGAAAGGACGATGATGGAAGACGAGAGTGAGGAAGACAAGAGAAAAAGGGCACATAGCGGCAGTGGAAGCGAAGCGGCCATCTTCGCCCTTGGGCGTGCGTGGAGTACTCGAGAATCCACAGAAGAGAAATAAAGAGGCAGAAAACGCGGTGCCCCACACGCCGGGGAGAGGCGGCAACTCCCCCTGCGTACTAAGTCCGATTCAATTTCCGTCTTCCCAATATTTAAATTATTTATTCTAATTAGGAAGTGGAAGCTAACTATGAATGGTAAATTGCAAGAGTGGTCACTGAGATTATCTAGGAATGGCAATGGGCAGGTCCGGGCAGGTCCGGGGCAGGTCCTTAGGTATCCAGACCCGTCTCCTCGCAGGTCGGGTAATTTATTACGGGTTGCGGGTCAGGGCAAGTCGGCCCAATGAGTATGCAATTTATATGAAAAACATTAGAAATATTCGTTATTTTTATTATAAGATCAAGAAAACAAACAATATTATGATAAATATAGTTAAATTCTTGAATAAATTGAGGTTTTCAATAATTAAAAAGTTATTATAGCTAAAATATGATGTAATAAAAGAAAAATCCTGAATAATTTGACTAAGATTACAAGTTATTTAGGCAAGAACGGGTCGAGAATGGGGCGGGTCAGGGCAGGTCGGGTCGATGAGAGTACCCATGCCCGCCCCACCCCAAAACAGACCAACCAGGTCGGGTAAAACGGGTCAGGTTGAAATTGCCATCCCTAAGATTATCATAAAGTTTAATGTTTGGTCGTTAAAAATATTTTATTCCATTTGTGGTCATTATGTTTAGTTAAATATTTCAAATTTGGATCACTCTCCGTCAACTTCTGTTAGTCTCCGTTAACTACGTTAATTTATTGCTTACGTGGCTAACAGAGATGCTCATTCACTCAATTTTAACCAACGAATAAGAGTTTGGTCTAATAGCATTTTTGTTGGTCTTCAACCTACAAGTCTTTAAGTTCGAAACCTTTTTTCTTATTAGGGGTGGGAAACGGTGCGGTTGCGGTTAACTGCACCGAATAAGCGCGGTTAACCGCCACCGCACAAGGGGAAAACCACCCACCGTTACCGCATTGCAAACGGTTTGCGGTTAACCACTAACCGCAAATTGCGGTTTGCGGTTAGTTGCGGTTAACTGCACTTCAAACCGCACACCGCGATAAGAGTTAGTCGCGCGTCCTTTGCTCTGCTTCTCGACCGTCGATGGAAGGAGACACTGCCCGCCGTGAACACCGCGACGCCTTCTCCTGATCTCCTCTGTCGGGTCGTGCTTTGCTCTGCTTCTCGACGGTCTGACGCCTGCTCGTGAACGCCGCCGGCGAATCTGGACTGGCTGCTCGTTGCGCAGGTGCTCGCTGGCCGCTGCTCGCTGCCTCGCTGGCCGCTGCTCGCTGTCTCGCTGGCGGCTGCTCTTCCTCTTCGCCAACGAAGGAAGGAGTGGAACTCAGGAACTGTAGGCGGCCGATTTTGGAAATTGGAATTGTCAAAAGGAAGGAAGGAATGGAACCCTAGCTAGGCGGCCGATTTTGCACTTCATTTTTGGGTTTGGCCGTTTGAGGCTTTGGGCTGTAGAGGGGAAAGAGTTTGCATTTTGGGCTGTTGGATGGGTTGGGCTTGGGCTGGCCGGCTGGGTATTCCTTTTATGCGGTTAGTTATTCGGTGGGGTTATTTGTTCGGTGCGGTGTGCGGTTAGTCCGCAAACCGCAAAAGGGCCAATTCCACTAACTGTTACCGAATAAAGGCCCTTTTAAATGGTTTGCGGTTAACCACAAACCGCTCTTATTCGGTGCGGTTGCGGTTTAACCGCAAAACCGCAACCGTTTTCCCACCCCTATTTCTTATATAGCATATAACCATAAACTAGATACTAATAAACTAGAATTTTTGTCGACGCCATCTCCTCTAATTGAAGAAACGAGATCCGCACAGAAAAATACCCTCAAACTTTCATTATGATAGTGTCGTTGTTGATTAGTAGCTACTAGTGCGTGTTAGTAATTAGTAGGGGTGACTATTTGGACCGGGACCGGATTAAAAACTCGAAACCGGACCGTATAACTCGGACCGAGACCGGACTGGGACCGGATAGTAAACAATCCAATCCAATCTTTGGGCTTAGATTTGAGGTAAAAAACCGGATAAAGACCGGATAAGAGAGCTCAACACCCAAAACTTAAGGGTAATTTGCATAAACGGTCACAAACCTTTGCACTTAGTACAAAACTTAACCAACTCCTCACCCTTTAAGGCCTTAGGCCACTCAAATCCCACAATCTCAATATAAAATCAAGACCGAATTGGGACCGGACCGGATCAAGACCGGACTGTATCCAATCCAATCTTTGGTCCTTATATCTTCAAAAAGACCGGACTGGACCGGATCAATTTGGGCCAATTTAACCGGACCGGACCGTATAGCCACCCCTAGTAATTAGGCGACACATCGTTAGTAAGGATTATGAGCGTACCAATATGTCTAGTCTTGAAATCACAAAATTTCTCAAAATCTGGAAAATTATGAGCCTACCAATATATATTTATGTACGGCTGGGCATGTAGGCGGATCATCCGCGGGTTTGGGCCGACCCACCCACATTTGACCCGAATTTCGTTAAGTGGGTGGGTCTATGGGTGGGTGATGGGTTGCGCTGGGAGCCATCCGCCGGGTGGTGGGTGGGTTGTGGGTGGGTGCGCGGGTGACCCGCTCAACCCAATAGCAAAAAGATCAAAGTCGTCGGCGCTAGAGAGGGGAGAGTGGAGACGTTAGACATAAACTAGGATTGCTCCTGGAGTTGAACCTCAAAGCCAACCTTCCAAATATCAATCCCCTCTTCTTCCCTTTATTTTTTCCTCTAATTCTTATGCCTAGATCACTACTCTTTCCTTTGTGGAATTATTTTTCTTAGTTCCTTGTACCATATAATCATCTCAATCTGTAGAAAACTCTTTCATAATAGAATTTATATCATTTTAAGAACTAATTCGACATTTTTTGCCCTATTTCATCTTCTTGTTTCCCCATATAACTCTCTTCGCCTATTACCATGTCAAGTTGACTCCTTTATATTATATACATTGTGATGTGGGTGAACCCACAAACCCACCCAAATCATCCACCATCCGCCCGACCCAACCCGAGACTAAATATGGGTGGGCGGTGGGTTAAAAATTATTAATCCGTTTAAGCGCGGGTGGGTGCATTTTATGGTCAAAATCCACCCGACCCACCGAATGCCCACCCCTATATTTATGGCATACTGTTTGTCGTGGACTTTACATTTATATCACTAGCTCAAATTTTTTTTAAATATGCGTTATCTAAATTTTTACAACTTCTTATACATATCCAACTCCTCTCATTTGAAGAGATTGAAAAACCCGACGTTTACTCGAACTCGCCGAAGAAGTCGAAAGTTGCCGTATGTTTTTGTTATCTGCCCTCTTAATTCCTTTTCATTGGTGAAAAAAAAGAACAGCGAGATGCTGCCTCTCTCTTATCTCTTATCAACATCCTTGTCAAAAATTAAAGCATTATTAGTTCAAAAGATTGTCAATAATTACAAATTTTCTTTTGTCCTCTACTTAAAATTAGAAAGTTGAGCACTTCTACTATATTATATATATAGTATTGGTGTTTTAATGTACAACTTAAAGTTGTATCATAACATTAAATGTATAAGTTTAGGTTGTACCATAAAGAAATTTGTATCTTCTACCAAAAAAAAAAAAAGAAATTTGTATCACTATGTTATGGTACAACTTTACAACTCGAAATTGTACCATCACATAAGGTACAAGTTTAAGTTGTACCATAAAAAAAAATTGTACAAAAAGTATAGGTACAATCTGAAGGTGTACCATAACATTAAAAGTACAATTTCAAGTTGTACCATAAAAGTAAAAACCTATAGCACATATGCTATATAACATTATAAAATTCCTCTAGAAAAAGTTTCCGTTAGCGATGAGAAATACTATGATCATTCGCCCGACTTAATGCTAATATGACCTGTTTGTTTGTGCCACGTAACCTTCCTCTCCTCAAGACTCCCGCACGCTTCCGGTCTCCCGTACGCGTCCGCTTCACGCCCACGCTTCCTGCACACACAGGCGCCCACCGAACCCTTGGGAAGGGCTCGTCACCGTCAGCACTCCGACGCCTAAATCAGTACCACCCTTTTTAGAGAGAGAAGTGGAATATAAGTTTTAGAGAGAAGTTGGAACATGAGTAAATGAGCTCCACCCACTTCACTATTTATACTAGGGATAGGGTCGACCAGTGCCCCCCAAATCCGCCCTACGTCATCACCTCATTAAATGCACTGTACCTTCCTCCCCCAGGCGCCCCGACATTCTGACACCAATCTTCACCCCGGAGGCGCACGGCCCCACCTCTTGTCTCCTCCGTACGTTTCTGGCCGTTGCTCCCCTTTTGTCGTCATGCGCCCTACTTTAGACCCGGTCCCGCCACCTGGGCCATAGCCTCTACCCCTTCTTGGGCCGGGCCTCCTTTGCCAGGCCCACACTCCCGGCCCACGTCGGCTCTTAGGCCCCTTACTTGGGCCCTTCACTGTATGCCCCCAACATGACCAATACAAGATAATGCCGGCGAATCTGGTGGCTGGCCGGCACGTAATATTCCTGCCGGTTTACGAATTTGGTCCGTTGCCGGAGAGTATAGTATAGATGGGATGGAACAGAAACGCTAAACCCGATCGAGTTGGATCATCGAGACGGTCATTCCCAAGTATGGATCGGAAGAGATATAGCTAGATAGCACTTCCTACTGCAGATACTATTTATAGATAAGATCTCAGCTGCATGTATTCATAGTCCAACTATATATACATTCGATAAACGAAACCTAAACAGAACCATCAACAACGTAACTGACGGCTAGCCATGTCGATGCCTTTGTCCCTCTTGCTTTCCTTGCTGCTTCTAATTTCCTGTAAGTGCTGCCACCTAAGCGAGTCGAGAATGGAACCCTACTCGGCGAAGAAGGATGATATTGCAGCTCCTCCTGCCAAGGCCCCGGAGGCGCCTCATAATAATGGCCCGAACGACGTCGTCCCCCGCGGAATCCCAGTTGCGGCAGTCACGGGCATAGATGATTATGAGTATCCAGTCAATCCTACCCTGCACAAAGGATACAAAGGCCCGTTGTTCCGATGAGGGTGCGAGCTGCGTCTGTCTTGGTTAATTAGTTTCCGGCGGATTCGATCGATCTCCATT